TAAGCGAGTTATGAGCATATCGTATAATATACAGTACATTAAAAATGCTCATAACTCACTTAAAAATTGAATTATCATAAAAAACCAACGTACAAACACAGATAATGTTCTTACCATCAAGTTTCATAATAGGTCGATTCACTGTAATTTTTAAACTAAAGGAGCTACAAGTGTTCTGCTTAGCGTACATATGCTATATTACGCACTGGTAAGACAACAAATTCCACTGTTACGTACTCTTAATTTTACCTCAAATTAATATACGCTATAAAAGTATTATTTGTGGAGACATAAATATTAATATAATGAGAAACACTAATTCTAGCAATGAATATTTAAATATTACGGCTAAAAATTGATTTTTGCCTTGTATTAACAATTATTATTTAGAGTAACTWATCATTCAAAAACTTGCATTGATCATATTTTTATTAAAAACATTTATTCTAATACAGTTACTATCTAATATTTTAAGGTATGATATAACTGACCATTATCCCACAATTTTGATTTTATCCAACATTAATAATAATGAAATTACTCGTAATTACTCGTAACAATTTATTAATTGTAAATAAGATTGACATCAATCACATTAATTTATTAATTCGAACTGAAAATTGGTATACTTGTTTGAATCATGATAACGTAGATGATATGATAGAAGTCTTTAACTCGAAAATAAGTTAATTACTCTACCATTTTTAAGTATAAGATTAATAAATCTAAAAATATGCAGAAACTTAAGGATTGAATTACTACTGGTATTGTAACTTCTATTAGAAATACGGAGAAATTATATATTAAATTGAGATCCAGACCTTTTGATATTAGATTTAAGAAATCCAACAATTTGTATAGAAACATATTAAATAAACTTGTACGTCTATCTAGACAACTATATTATCAAAATAGATTACAGCATGCTCAATCTAATAGTAAATTAATTTGGAATATAATAAATGAGGTCACTAGTAAGCCAAACCAAATTGTTAATAAAATTAATAAGATGAGAAATAAAGTTGGTATTGTTACAGAATCTAAAATTGATATCTGTAATGAATTTAATGATTTTTTCATTAATGTAGGTAAAAACTTAGATATAKAACATATAAATACAAATACTTTACTGCCTGGAAATTACCCTGGTATTAATGACAATATATTTCTAAAACAAATTGACATTGATGAAATTACTAAAMTTATAGGTAAAATTAAAAAAGCGGGTAAGTCATGGATRTCGCTATGCTGTACAGTAGGTTACAAGTGGGTTACTGCAATWKATGGAATTMAATTTGAATCCAATGATATTATATCATTGTATACGAAAAACAACTCTGAGAGGAGACGGCTTATCTGTCTAGGATATATTATTATAGTTTATTAAAAATTTAACTAAAAAAGTTGAAAAATTAAAATGTCAGTAAACTGTAGCTCAAAACAAATCAAAATATTTTTAAAATTTTATCAAATATAGCAAAAAAA